CGCACCTAATCACTGCACAGGACTCCAATCACAGGGAAGCTCAAGGAGGATATCGGGACGGAGGCTTCCTCTCCTGCTCACCCACATCACCAAACCGTGGAGGGGAGTACGTGGCTCGGGCATCTGCCAGGACGTGGCTCGGGCATCTGCCAGGCCCAAAGGTAGATTCTATGCCCTAAAACACCACTCCTGCTGCAGTTCTGGTGGCTCAGACACAGCCATCCCCTCTCTCCATACCACACACAACTTGGGAGGCAAGGTTGGTTTCCTCCACTGGGCAGAACGGAGACCCCGAACCTCACCACTCTCTGGCGGAGGGAGAGACTTCACCCCCTTTCAACCTCACAGCCAGCGAGCCAGTGCCCACGCAGCTTGGGAAGCTGCACTGTCAGTGCCCGAGGCGCCTGGTGCCTGAGTCGGGTTTGTGGCCTGGAGGGGCACGAAAGGTTCTTCCTTCTTTCCTCGGCTATCAACTCTCTACCCTGCCAACTGCAGAACACGAGACTTGAGCGGAACGTTGACATAATTGCAAAGCAATGCATACAATTTCCATAAGTTCTACAATATGGTTATAATAAAAACGGGCCCTCGGTCCCCGTAGAGGCGGGCTGAATAAAAATTATTCCTGATGATTATTAAAACTTATGAAGTGTGTTTGTAAGGCCCGGAATCCCGAGCATCTGTCACCATCTCCACATTGGAGGGAGCCTAACATCAAACATAAAGCCCAGGAGGAAGAAACCACACAGCGGTCAGCGCCAGGGCAGGAGAACAGAGCAGAAGCCCTAGCTTTTGCACACTGCAGCCCATCATTCCCCGCCCAGAGGAATTGGCCTCCAGCTGCAGAAAGGTCGTTGCCCCTGGAGACAGTCCCAGGCAAGCCGGAGGCATTGACCCCGAGAATGTTTCCTACACGTGGAATGTTCCTTCTTTCCTTGATTACTCGGGTCAATCCTGACCCTCTTCACCCTAAACTCCTCTACCAGGGGCCACAAATCAAATGTCTACAGGAGCCAGGCAGATAATATCAACGAGTTAAGGGTTAGAAGACCCAATCGGGACTTTAGACGAGGGGACTGTCTTAAAGGGGCGGCACTGACCTGGCCACGGCCCGTGGGCCATTGCATCTCTTGCCTTCCAAGAAAAGCTAATCACCAGGTCTTTTATAAGAAATCTCTCACATTTTTAAAATGTTAGTAACTTATTTAAATATTTTTAAACAACGCTGCGTGTGCCAAACAAAACATTCAGGACTATCCATGTGCGACCTTTGTCCGAAACTGCCAGACAAGCTGCTAGGCCGAGGGAGCTCAGCTCCAGGAGTCAGGAGCTAGACCCAGACAGACAGTTCATGGTTTTCCTTTAGCCACTTGACCTTTACAGTTAGGTTAGCAAAGAATGACCTGGGGCCTGGGCCAACCAAACCCCAAGGGTACTTTTCACCTGCAGGTGGCCACCGGACCAGTCTGGTTCACTGGACCACGAATCCAGAGCAGGATGCACAGTCATGAACACAGCACAGGTGGAGAGTGAGGGACCTGGGTTCAAGTCAAGACTCTGCCCATAACCAGCTCCCTGCTCTAAGTTGCTTCTCTTCCTCCTCCCTAACCAGGAACAACCACTTGACCTCACTGGCCCTGTCACCCATTCAAACTCCATGCAACACGTACACCTCACCCAGTCTTACCGGCAAACCACAGTCTCCCTTGGGCCCTGGAGGTCCCATCAGCAGCGGGAAAGGCGTAGATTCCACCAGGTGGAAGAATGAATAGCCACTGCCCGTGGGCTGGGGGCTGGAGGACAAGAATCGCGCTGGGGCCAATGCCGGGGCCGGGGTGGTCTGCTGGCCAGGCCAGGGTTGTCTGGGGCTGGGCCCTGCTGTCAGTTCACTGAGCGGGACATCCCTGGCTGCCTTCCCGGGTCTGAGGGGGATGGGCTTCCGGGGGCTGCTCTTGGGTCTATCTTTCTTTGTGGCTTCTGATCCAGTGGGTTTCTTGCTTCCAGTGGGGAGTGAACCGGGCGTGAGGGTGGGAGGCATCGCTGTGGCTGGAAGCCGAGCAGTCCTGGTAGAACCGGGACTGGGGGCAGGTAATGGGGACAAAACAGTGGGTTGGGGAGGTCTATGCGTGCTGGTGCGGGCAGGGGCCGGCTCACTGGCATGGCTGCTCATCTTGGCCTCAGTCTGGACAACTGGGGTAAAGGGCTTTTTAGAGGCACCAGTGGCGGCAGGTAGATGCCGGGCGCTGGGTGGTGGGGGTCTGGGCGTAACAGGATTCCTCTGGATCGGCTTCACTGTAGGATGGGAGACTCTGGCAGGAACTGGGTGGGAAGTGCGTGGCACTGACTTCTTGGTAGGTGGGGCTGACTTTGTGAAGGAAGGTGGAGCTGCCTTCTGGGTGGGGCGGGGGCTTTTGACAGGGACGATTGAAGAAGGGGCTGAAGGCTTAGTTGGGTGACTTTTGGGGATTTTGGCAACTGTGCTCTTTTGTGATGGCTGGACAGGTGCGGTGGAGCTGGCAGGAGAGGCTGGGTCCCTGGGAGAAAGCACTTCATTGGCTGACAGCTTGGCAGGTAGCAGTGGGGTATGGGCTGGGTCTCCCACTGGGACACGCTTGTGAGAGTCTGTGGTGCTAGTCCTTTGAGGCTTGGTGGGTGTGGTGGGCACTACAGTCACCCTGGGGCCCCTGCCTGCTGGCCGTGACCCCAGGGCTGGCATGGCAGTGGTCAGGTTCTCCAGGCCTAGCAGGGCAAGGCTGGTCTGGAAGGCGAAGGATGCGCCAGAGTCTCGGGGGAGGAGGGGTCCCAGCTGGGGCCGGTACGTGTCGGCCTGTCCACACTCCTTTCTCAGGTGGGTACAGTAATTGTGAGCGACCTGCGTCACAGGGTAGATACTGAACTGGCACACAGCACCTTCAAACTGGACCGCATGTGGGCTCATCTTTCCGAAAAGGAAGGAGCCTTCAGGGTCAAGCACTGGGTCCCTGTGGAAAGCCAGTGGGACAAGCACCCGGCGCTGCCCACAGGCCGTCACCAGGGTGACTGTGCGGCCACGAAGCTCCAGAGCCAGGTGGTGCCAGCGCCCATCGTGCACGTCGAGGTCGAAGGCCACGGAGCGCCGGGGCCCCAGGTGGACGACTGTCTTGCCGGGGAGGAACTGCAGGCCCAGCTGCAGCTTGTGCTTCCGGCTGCGGACAGCGAAGAGGAAGGCATGATTCACCCGGTGGGAGCAGAGGCTCAGCACCAGCGCTAGCTCTGTGCCCAGAGCGGCAGGGATGACAGCAGTCGTGGGGGCCTGGAGCCGGGCCCGCTGCGTAACGATGAAGCCTGACTGGAACGGAATGACTCCTGGGGGTGGGGGACTCCGGCCACCCACTGCCTTGGCCCAGCTGAGGCCCAGCCGCTGGAGGACATCCACATCTGGAGAGGGAAGGCAAAGGGGGAGAGGGCACGGTCAGGGCCTGGTCCAGCCCCAGACCCCCCTGTAGGAGCACAGGCGGCGAGGACAGTCCACCCCCCGCTATCTGCTGCCTCAGGGTTTTAGCTGAGAGTGCAGAGCTGGAAGCAATCCTTTGGCTGGCTGCATGATCTTTGCATATAGTGGTAAAAAACACAGACTCTGGAGCCAAACTTCCTGAGTTCAAATTCCAGTACCACCACTTACTAGCCTCCTGGCTTCAGTGCCTTGGCTTTCCCATCTATCAAATGGGATAATAGTAGTATCAAACTCAGAAGGATGATGTGAGGATTAAATGAGCTACTACACTTGGAAAAAGGGGCCTGGCACAAAAAAAGCATTTCAAACAATAACTATTAATACTAAAAAGATGATAATCACCAAATGCTAGTGCTAAAAGGATTAGAGGCTGCCCAGTGCGACTTGTTTCCCGTTCTCTCTGCCTCAAAAGCCATCTCCTCCGAGAAGCAGTTCCATAGCGAAGGAACAGGGTGACAGGAATGGACACGTCACTGGAGATTCCACCTTTAGGAACCTACCCAGCCCCCTTCCCACCCCTGAGGTCTGTCTGGCCTGAGCAGGCTCCGGGGAGCTTCTATCTGCACATAAAGGAGAGGACACTTCCAATGACTCCCCCTCCCTGTGTGGCTTTGGAGAGAGCAGAGGAAGTCATTAAGGCACCCCTGCAACCTCTGTCCTCTGGCAGACCATGGCCTGGGCAGGTCATATCCGCCCAGTAATTACATCAGGGGGGCTAGCCAGAGGAAGGGGAGGGCTTCCAGGGTGTTTATGGAAAGGCATCCTGATCTCGCCTCACGGGCCATTCGACCTCCTTTGGGCAGCTAAGCTACCAGTGTCTGCAGAAGCCGACTCGAAGCTCCATCTCAGCAGGCAAGGAGAGGCTGCCTCCGGGACTGGGGCTTGGGTCAGGTCCTTAGGCCCCTTTCCCTGAGCTCAGCGCCCCAACCCCTCAGTGTGGAATGTCCTCTCTCTCATCATGCAGCGCGAGGGATGTTTATTGGGCTGAATGCAGCCTGAAGCCCTTAGGAGGCCTTCAGTTGACAACTGTCAGATGGATGAACAGATGGATGGATGGATGGACAGCTACATGGGCTAGAAGAAACTGAGAACCTGGGCGCTGGCAACACGGCAGCGTAACGGTTCCCTAGCAGGCTCTGGAGTCAGAAGGCCGGACTTTAGAGCCAGACAAGGCCACCTGAGTCTGGACTCTGAGGCTCAGCTCCTCGCACCATCAAACAGGGTTACGAAGAATGCCTATATCATAGAGTTGTCGGGAGATGAAATGGTGGTTCCTTCATCTCCTCACCCATACCCTGCACCAAGTACCTCTGCCCAAGTCTCATTCTGACCCTGGGGCCTCGGTCTCCCTGCCTGTAAGACAAGGGAAACCAGACTGGAGATGGCCACAAAGTGCTAACAGCATTCTCTAAGAACTCTATAGCTGCAGGCTGCTGTTTTAGTCACTTGTTGAAGACCTTATTTCTCCCTAAGGCCGAAAGGCCTTCATTTCCCTTCACATTCCTCCTTTCCCCCACCTGTCTAGCCCCAGGTCCTACGCTAAAATAAACCATTGCTTAAAAATTCTCTTAGTAGTGTATTTTGTTTTAATCACTGAAAACCCCTATATTATCACAAAGTACTACTCACTATAAACAACTTAAAAAAGAGGAACCACTTGTTAGGGAAGAGGTAAGGGCAGGAAGCCGCCTCTCCCCTCCTTTTGTCCCACCTCAGCAGCCCTGGAGAGGCCTCCAACCTGCACACCTCTCTCCTTGCATACAGCGGCTTACAGCCACTTGCAGTCACCGAGGGGAAGTGACAACTGGCCAGGCCAGGGAGCACCGATTAGGTTGCCAGGGAGCACCGATGAGGTTTCCTTTATCATCCTCTTCAAGCCAGTTTCAAAGCTGACACTGGCCAGTCTCTAGATCTCCCCTGCAGACTGTCATCAGCTCAGGGGCAAAGCCCCAAATTCTGAGACCTGGGGCTGGCGGACGTGGTCATCGCTGAGCTTCCAGGAGCCTCTGACCACTGTGGGCTCCACAGCAGACAGAGAAGGGCTGCTCTTGCCCAAACTTTCCAGGTAAATAATATAATTAACAATAATAAATAACATTTACTGAGCACTTACTATGTACCGAGTGCCTCCCATGCATTTTTTTGCTTGATTCTCTCAACCATCTGTGAAGCAGGTACTATTTATTATCCTCACTTTCTAAATAAGGGTCAGAAAAGTAAGCTATAATAATGTGCCCAAGGTCACGCAGCTTATAATAAAGGGCACAGCTGGGGTTTGAACCCTGACCGCCTGGCTTCAGGGTCTTTGTTCTTAGCCACTATCCTGTGCTGGAGCCCCTCAGACTTGTTGGAACACAGGGTGGAGACACAGCCAGAATCCCATCAGGGGTGAGGAGCTAGGGGACAGAAGAATGAATGTAGCACAACGCCAAGATGGAAGTACCCAGCCAGCTGGCCACAGCAAGATCCCTTTATTACATAAACCTGGCTCCACACAGCCCCGGCCTCTCCCCAACCCCCAGTGCCTGACTCAGGACTCTGGACAGCTGTTCACCTACTTTGTGGGGGAAACAGCAAGCTCGGAAAAAATGACATTTGCACAGAATGTTGACGGGCAGCAGGAGTCTCTTCCGGGCACGACCCTCCTCTCCCGGGGGCCCAATCCCTGCCCGGCAGCCGGTCAGGCCACAGGGGCTCTGGGAGTGCCCGGCTGCCTGCTCCCCACACGGGGGGTGTGGAGGAGGGGGAAGGGCTGCTATTTTAAGAGGCGTTGTGGCTGCTTGACAAACAGATGTGGGAGAGGTTTCAGTTTCAAGGGGCAGCTATGTAGCCAGCCCACCGCTGCCCAGGCCCCCTGGACAGCTCCTCAGGGATAGTTAGGAAAAGCAGGATCTCACCAGAGGGGAGGGCAGGTCACAGGCTTGGGCAATGATAGTCATGGCCTCTGTGACTCTTCTCAACAGTTGTCCCAGGACAGATAGGGACAACTGAGGCTTACCAGCCAAAAGTGACTTACTCGAATTGTGCCCTGGAGAGAAACGAAAGAATCACCTTTCCGCATTTCTGCACTGAGCCCTTCCTACCCCTTATAAAACATCAAATGGGATTCTTTCAAGCCCAGGGAGAATTTGCCAATGACTGACTCCATTCTACTGATGAGAAAACAGAGGCATTGAGTTCCAAATGGGAGCACGGATGTCTCCTACTCCTACATTCTGGGATCCCTTCTGTCCTCCCTTGTCTCCCCCTGGACAAAAAGAGAGAATTACCTTCAGGAGCTCCTTGGGTGGAGGCCAGGTGACAGGCAAATGAAACTAAGATCCAGGTGAAGAGAAACCCCCTAGAGACCAGGAGACACAAGCAGAGGTGGCATCAGCTTCCACCCCTCGGCCCAGATCCAGCTGGGGAGTTGGGAGTAGATCACCCAGCCCCGGCCCCACCCCAGTCTTGCCACAAAAGGTGAGAAGCAAGGTGCAGGCTCTAGGACCCCATTAGAACAGTCCACGCTCCTGAGACTCTAGGTACAACCTCTTGGGGGCGAGAACTGCTTATAATGGTACAAATACAACCTTGCTTTTTACAGAATGAATGGGCAGGAAACAGTGGATAGGAAGCCCTGTCTTGCATGTCAGGAGACCCAAGGTCCAGCTCAAAATTTGCTGCCAACTCATAGGGCCAAAAGGGGTGAGCTCCTGCCCCTCCCCGTCTCTGGGGTTCAGTCTCCCCATCTGTATGGTGGCCTCATGATCTTGAAGCCCAATGAGCAAGAGCCAGGGCTGAAAGTTCAGTGGGAAGACTAGTCGGTCTGCTTGGATGACGTGTCCTCAAAGGGCAGGACAGATGAAAATCACTTTCCAAGCCCAGGACAGGGAGCAGAAGAAGACCATTTAACCAGGACCAGCGTGTGCTACAGAAGCTGCTCGGCTGACTTTACGCAGATGGAAAATGAGAGAAGATAAGAGAGAAGATGATAGAGTCAGGCAGGCCCAGATGCAGACCTGGCCCCATTGCTCACCAGTTGTGTGACCCTGGATGAGTCGCTCAGCCTCCCCAAGTCTGTCTCCTCCTCTGCAACATGGCTGACACTCCCTATCTTGCAGACCATTCATGAGGATTAAATAAGCTAATGCATGTCAAGGCTTGGCCTGCCGCCAGTCACACAAGTGCTCCTTAGACTATCCCTGCTGCCCGTGCACTCTGGGGACAGGAAGAGTTAATGCTCTGCTCAGAAGCTCCTGCCAAGATGGGCAGAGGCGGTAATCCGATTTCACCTTCCTGTGGGAGCAGCCACTGGTGACACCCGAAGCTACCTCAGGCATCTGATCCTTGAGTAGGCAAAGGGGAGGGCGGCACGTGGCCAGGGATGGCTGGCCAGGATGCAGGCAGAGAGAGCTGTGACGGGTGGGTAGGGAAGGCTAAGGCTGGGACACAAAGGCCCAGGATCTGCTTCCAAGAGGAAAGCTAGGATGGTGTGCTTTTGGGGAATCACGTAATCTATGAAACCTGTCTGCAGGGATTGACCTCTGGAGCTCCAGGTTCTTCCCAGCTCCCTTGGTGACTTGGAAAATAAGCTCACACCCTCTGATTGACTAGTAGGTACTCCAATTTAATTGCAATTAGAATCAATAGTCGTCCGGACCTGGATGCTGTGGAAGACACCAGTGATTACTTACCCACGGCCCTTCTGCCTTCCTGTTTGTTCAAGGAGACATGGACTTCAGAGGACATTGGATGAATCTGGATAAGTCTAAGGTAATCCTGGAAATTTCATTTGCCATGGCAGTGACTGGTTTGGGAATGCATATATGACCCAAATGTGGCCAGTGAGATGTGAAGGAGGCCTGTCAGGGCCCTTGGGAAAGCATTTCAAAAGGACAGAGAGGTTTTCATCTAGCTTTTGTATGTTATTGAGTGAGGATGTACAGCCATTTTGTGCACATGAGGTAACAAGCCCCATGACTATGTGAGGATGGCAGAATGAAAAAATAGTGGGTGTCCGATGACACCTGAGATGCTAAATTAGTCAACCCTATTACTGCTTTTCTTTTGGCCCTCTTGATATGCGAGGTAATAACTCCCCTCCATTGTGTGAGTTGGGTCTTCAGTTACTTGCAACATGAGGCAAACTAGCTGAAACAGCCCTCGGACGCTGATGGTGATCCCCAGAAAGCTTTCTTCAGCCTCTAGACCTTTGTGCATGCTGCGTCTGTTCTAGACATCACTCTTTAGCTTGGTCAGTTCCAGCCTGGGTGTCATCTCCCACAGCCTGCTGCACATACCTCACCACAGCAGGGATCTTATGTGTGGCCATTGTCTATTTTCCTGTTTCTCTTTTGTAGTCCAGGTCCCTGAAGGGCAGGGACCACTTCTGTCTTGTTCACTCTTGTGTTCCCAGCACCTAGCAGGCATGTAGTAAGTATTCAGCACGTTTTGCAGGAGGAATGAATATTTCCTGGTATAAGACTTTTTAAAGGGTCTTCTCAAAGCCTTAACTCTAGCAGATCTCCCCACCTTTTTTCCCAGGGTTGCTCTTGGATAAGCCTTGGTCCCATGTCATCCTCTCCAAACCTGCTGCCGCTGCTGTGAGAATGCCTTTTGCACGGGGCCACTCCTCCCTGCCTCCACAGGCCTCACCTCCAGCTCAGCACCAGCAAAGACTAAAGGTCAGAGTGCCTAGCTGCCCTGGGGTTGCCTGGAGAGAAGAGCACAGGCTGACCTTCCAGCATGACCTGCCCACCTGAAGCAAATGGCAGCCTCGTCAGCCCTGAAAAGAAACAGGCAGTTTTGCTTGATCTGACCAAAACTGAGGCTTAGGGAGGACGTGGACTTCCTCCAGGTCACCCTGGGCAGGCTCTAGGGTCACAACTCTTCAGTACATTTCCCGGGTGGACACCAGGTGGACACCACAGGAAACTATAGCCAGATATATTGGAGAAGAGCTATCGCTTGTGTCCCAGTCCTGGCAGTTCCCAAAGCACGACTGCACACCAAAGGCTCTGAAAAGTCCTGCAATCAAGAAATTGACTAAACTTTCTCTCATTCAGCAGTACTCAAACTTAGAGGACAAAGGAACTCATTTCTCCTGAGAATGCCCCCTCAGAAGACACTGCTCCTCACTTTCCAGTGTCCCTGCAACCTCGCTAGTTTATGTTCCATTTCCTTCCAGCCCCCTCTCTTCCCAGCCCTTGCCATGCACAAGCCCTCACTCCTTGAGTCTCACTGTGTTATGTCGCACCCACTCTTCTTAGAATGTTTCCCAAGCTGCTAAAGAGAGGCCAGGTAGAGAGGAGTAGGTGTAAGAACCGCAAATGTCGTTCTCAGTCAATTTTACCTGCTGTGGTTATGTCAAGGTGACTACTATGCAGAAAATAAGAGGGTATATTAGGGGGAAATATTTTTAATTCCCAAAGTTCAGGAGAAAGAAGACTCACAGGGGGAATGGTACCAGAATCTTCTCTTCAATGAAGCTTTCTAACACCATGATTTTTAACGAGATTTTCAGCCCCGAAGGCCTCTTTCAAAAGCATTTGTCCACCCATTCATTCACTTCAAAAAATGCCACTGACCACTTAAGACCTGGATTCTGTGTGTACTTGACCAATAAACTTCCAAAGTATAATAGTGCAGGGGTAGAGTGGGAGAAGGCTCTCTGAGGTCATCTAGAGGCCAGATGTCCCCTCGTTGTAGAGATGGGCACCTGAGGCCCAGAGAAGGGAAGTGACTTGCCCAAAGCTACACATCACATCAGTGACTCACATCATCTGACACTACTACTTAACAGACAGAGACAGTCCTTGACACTTGACTTGCCTCCCATGCAGAAGAAATCGGAGACTTACAGGGACTTCCTACTTGCCAGAGACCATAGTCCCAGGCTTCACCAACAGGAACGGAGATGCAGCCTGGGGAGCCAACAAGCCATCTCAGTGAGCTCCAGGCCTGGAAAGTTGGCTCCCAGAGGGAGGCCCTGACGATCCTTTTGCTCCCGTTCCAATCCTGTTTAGGCTACTGCTAATAACGTTCAGTGCCTGCGCTGGCTCAGGGCTTTGTTCTTCCAGACTTCTGTTTTCACCACTGACTTGTGGGCTTTGGCTCAGCGAACCCAGGGCTCCAGAACGTCGGGAAGACCAGAGCACAAGGGCCAGAGAGGGCAGGAGGCAGCCGAAACTGGAGCCACGCGCTAGGAGCCTGACCTTGGAGATACAGCCTGGCCACACAGCCCTCCAGGAAGAGAACCCAAATGTTCCTTTCCCCTGAGGAAGGCCCTCTGCCAGTACACCAAATGTGGCCACTCTTGGACCATGAGGCTGCCAGAACCTGTAGCTGGCTTGCATGGTTTTCCTTCCATCCTTGTTACCTAGGAACACACGAGGATCTCGGAACCCCATACCGACTTGAACATCCACTAAGAGCTCAGAACTGAGGGCCGGGGTGCTGAAACACACCAGGAAAGCGGCCCTGAGGATTCCAGGTTTGGCCGTGCTCCCATGGGGTAAGATGGGAAGGACGTTGCCCAGAGGACGCAGAACAGCAATGGGGAATGGACCTGTCCCACCTGCCTCCATGGACTGGCCAGGCCCCATGTGGCCAGACGGTCACACCCAAGCTCCTTTCTTCACACCTTACACCTCTTCCATCGGAACACAGACAGGTCATCTGTCTGGACAGGATGCAGCCCTGAAATTTCCAGTTGACTCACACATCCATTCAAGATGAATTGAATAATAATATAAATAACAGCTGCCGTTTCTTGAACACTTACTACAAGCCAGGCACTGTTCTAAACTCTTTGCAAGCACGGTCTCATTAATCCTCACAAAACCCTGCTACCTGGGAATCAAGATGCTCATATTGTGGATGATAGAAATGAGAAGCAGAGAGGCGAGAGCTTTGCCCAGGCTCACAGGGCAGAATCGGGATTCACATTTTCTGATGACAAGGCTCTCTCTGCCCTGCAGCCTGGCTCCCACTGGTGTGAGTCTCCCACCACTAACTAACCGATAGGGCACTTTAGTGGTCTGGGGAGAGGTGTGGAGGAGCAGAGCTGGAAAGCATGCAGGGGTCAGAGGGCACAGGACCTGGAGCCCCACTGTGGTGAGGGAGGCAGTTAGACAGGAGAAGGGAGAGGCTGAGCCACCAAGCAGCATGATGCCCACCTACTTGTCCAAGGCTTGGGCCCCACTATGGGGTGCCCACCTGGCACTACTTTTCTACCAACCGCTGGCATCTACCCTGGCACAGGGTCTTCTGGAGAAAATGAGTCAGCAATGTGCTTACTGGTGCCGTGTGTGTGTGTGTGTGTGTGTGTGTGTGTGTGTGTGTGTTGCGGTGGGGGGGGGGGGGGGGGCTCTCAGCCAGCCAGCTTTTTCCAAGACATGGGAAAGAAGGAGGGGGTATCATCCCCCATTCCAGCTCAGAGGGGCAGGGCATGGTGGGTGGGGCGGAGCTACAGCCTAGACCAGCCTCTTGGGAGTGTCCTCTGGTCCTAGGGGCAGGATGGAAAGCCAGCAAGTTCTGTGAATCCCCTGGGCAGTGAGCATGAGCCACAGTCCATAGGGCCCCCAGGGGCTGCTCTCATCCTTGCTCCCTACCACACACACCCACACCCACACGAAGTGACTCGCTTTTGCACGCGCGCTCAACTCTTACAACTTCTACTCCACAGGCTGGGACTCAGAGCCTCTGGGTCTCAGCTCTGCCGCTGCCCCTCCTTGGAATTCCCTGCCCCTCTCCGGCCCTTGGTCTCTGCATCTGTATGTACAATGAGGAGTTCCACTGGGCGATCTCCCAGGGCCTTTCTGCTCTGACATGCTGGCTCACTTTTTTTTCTCTCACACGCGGGAAAGCGACAATAACTGAATCCCTACCCTCCATCCCAGAGAAGCAGGGAAACACTGAGATACACAGACCCAAACAGACTGACACACACACGAAGATTTCCAGAAACCAAGGACGTGCAAGGACACACAGACACCGAGATAGTAGCAAAAGCCGAGACCTGGAGACCTAGAAACTTGGAGACAGTTTCACAAGAGCCAGAAACGGAGACTTACAGAATCAGGACCTGTGGACACCAACACTGGAACACACCGAGACAGTAAGAAACGGAGACCCCTTCCGCCCTAAGCATCCATAAAGCACCCCCTCTACTCCCCACCCCTCCGCCGGCCGCTCCTGGGGCCACCACCCACCCCCAGTCCCGACCCCGGACTGGCTCTGCACGGACCCCCCAGCCCCGCTCCCGCCCCAGCGCCAACAAGCAGCGCGGCCAGGCTGGGCAGGGCCAGGAGGGGCAGGGCAGGCAGTGCTCGCCAACCCGGGCCGGACCGGGGGCGCAGCCCGCTTTAACCCTTGGCGGCCTGCCTCACAGGGGCGCAGGAAGGGGTAGGAAGCCGACGTTCCTCTAGAAGCGTCCGGCGCGGCGGGGAACCCCAGCCCTCCCTGAGGCTGGAGCAGCAGGAAGCTGGGGAGGGGGCGTCCCGGAGCTCGTACTCACCCCCCGTGCGCCGCTGCCGCCGCCGCCGCCGCTGGGCCTCGGGCTCCCCGCGCCGATCCCGCT